GAAACAAGTAGGCTAAGGTTTGGGAAACTGATCTATTTGACTGTCACTTTCCTTCCCCGTCGCAGAAAAAATTCAATTTATTAGCGACGTGTGTATGCGGACTGAAACAGTGACCCAGCTTTCCCTCTCTGCAGGCATCAGCAGGGCTAATCTAGAGCCTAACCCTGACCCAGGGTCTAGAAAGAAAAAAGGGCAGTAAAAACAACCACCACAAACATCTCTCAAGGTAAGGGAGGAAAACTAATTCCATTAATAAACCAGATAACACTGCTGGTCATCATATGGAAATTACTGGTACTAGCACAGTATTAGAAGGGATACTTTGACCAATGCAAACTGGACACAGTCTCCAAGAGCTATTGCAAACCTCTGGAACACTTTCATTTTGTTAAAATAGGTATTTGGACACATTTGCATGTCTCATTTGCAAAGTTAACCCTTTCATTTGAATGCTCACTTCTATCATCATCATCATCAAAAAGCAGTATTTTTCTGGAAGGCAACCTTTGATAACCCAACAGACTGGTATGTACGGACATAAAGCCAGATCTGAAATGCCTGCAAGAAACTTTCTAGCTGACCTCACCAGGCTTTGCATCCAGCAGTGTCCAGGCTTGGTGGGGAGAGGAAGAAAGTACTGGGCTCTGTGGCTCAGCAATTCCAAAATGAGGCACAGGTTTCAGTGATTCTTAACTACGGTGCCAGGGCACCCCAGCGTGCATCCACATCCTTTGAAAGGTGTCGTGAGGTATGAGGAGATAAGCTATATGTGCAAAGATAAGTGTAGGCTCAGGTTTAGTCCCTGCCTGGCCTGGCCCCGCTGCAAGAAGGTAAGCACTGTAATATCAATTGGATTTTGGAACTGGGTGCCACTCCATTCACAAACCTTATGGAGGGGTGTCTCGAGTCCAGAAAAATTGAGACCCCCTGGATAACATACTGAGAGGATGCCCTGGCTGAGTTCAAGAAGTCTGAGGGAGTCTGGACAGCACCACTGAGATGCCCCTGCAGAGGTTAGCACAAGGGCAGCATCACCTAGCTCAGGCACCTGCCTTCCACCCTGCAGTGGCTAACGGGGCCAAGGCTCTGGCACCGTTTCTGAACGACGCCCAGGAGGGCAACGGCCTCAGACACCCACACAGCAACCCCCCACCCACACACACTGCCTCTCCTTCTCCCGGCAGGAGAACCAGGCTGTTTTCTAGCTGCTCTTTCCTCTCCAAGCTGCTGTTTTAACTGTTTTTGTTGCTGTGCGCGCCGAGGACGTTTCCATGTTGATAGCTGCTTTTGCAGGCCGTCTCCTGGTTGTCATGGTGACAGTGATTAGCAAGAGCTCAATTGTGAGGCGGGGGAGGGGTAAATACTGTATCTCCCCAAGTGCTTTCCAAGGGCGGCAGGTACATCTAATCCCAGCATCGCTCCATTTTATGCCTTTGACGAGCAGCAAGAGCTATCGAATGACCGGCGTGGAGACAGCAACAGTTGCTCCGAGGGGATGCAGCGCTCAGCCTAACAACACACTAAAAATCACAGCTGGCCGCAGCCAGCAGACAGCTGTCTCTGGAGACGGCCGGGCCTCCTCCTGCTTACCCCTCACTTTGCCGCATCTCTTCAGCTTCACGCCAACTCTTTC